GAGGGTCGCGGAAGGCGGTAGTACCACGTAGCTCGGCCTCCAATTGGATAGTGTCGAGATTCAGAGCGTGGATCAAGCCATCAAGTCCTCGAATTTGTACCTGAAGGTGGGGCGATGTAACACAGCCCAAAAAGGAAGGAGAAAGGATGGCAAGTCGAGTACGAAGAAGGGAAGTAGTGAGGTCCAATAAGGCGTGTACGTGAAGAATCTCACGATGTAGAATGGCCTGAGCCCTCATCGGTATGCCCTCCATCGGGGCAAGACCGGCAGGAGAAGGAGACATGGCAGGAGGGAAAGTGCTCATCGCTCTGGAATACTAAGGCTCCAACAGGTTCCAATGAACCTTGAACAAACTTCGGTTGCTGCGACCACGTACGGCATGCCCGAGGGCGGCCACCTCTGACCGCTGCGGTCACGTAAAGGCATGAGCCAACTTGGAATTCCAAAGATGGGACAAAAATCTGAGTTCTCTCGGCCTAGGCCGTGGGCACTTACGTTTCCAAAGCAAGGGAAACAACGACAGACACCCGTTCGACGGGTCCACGGGAGGCACTCTACGGGCCCATCCCGGACTGGCACTGGGCCAGACACACTTATGGATATGCGTACTGACGGACAGCGGTGCCACACGCCGGCCTAGGGTTCCATTTCCTAAGAGTACATGTACGAATCCCTGGATCCTGGAGGTCTTCAAAAGGAATCGTGGCCCAAAGCGTAAGCCGGAAGCGAAGCGAGGGTAAGGAATCAAAATAAAAATAAAAATAGAATCAAAAAAATATTCAACGGGGATCAAAAAAAAAAGGTAATCAAAAAAATAATATTCTAGCCAACTGAGGATGGTTGGGGTAGTAGTAGTAGTAGTAGCAGTAGTAGTAGTAGTAGTAGCAGTAGCAGCAGCAGCAGCACCAGCGTAGCAGTAGCAGTAGCAGTAGCAGTAGCAGCAGCAGCAGCAGCAGCGCAGCAGCAGCAGGAGGAGGAGTAGTAGTAGTAGTGGTAGCAGTACTGCAGTGTCACGGCGTTCACACGAAGTTAGGCCCTACATGGCGTTGTCAGAGCGCTCGGAGACAGAAGGACTAGGATACCAGGGGACCAGCGGACCACAGGACCAGAGGACCAGGAGACCGGAGGACTAGGGGACCAGTGGACTAAAGGACCAAGGGACGAGGGGACCAAAGGACCAGTGGACCAGAGGACCAAGGGACCACATTACCAGAGGACCCGCAGACCACAAGGCCAGGAGAGCAGCAGAAGAGGCCTATCAAGGAATATGTATTTTTTGATTCGCTTTTTATTTTTTTGATCCTGTTTTTATTTTATTTTTGATGCTCTTTTTATTTTTTTTGATACCTATGCCGCGAAGCGACGGGTTGACGACGTACCGTTCTTGTCTGCAGCTACATTAGGTGCCATGTCTTTGAGGTTCTGGGCTTAGCCTCATGCCATACGAAAATTCGCAGGTACGTCGGAGTGGCCAACTCGGATATCACCAGATCAAATGGGCGTCTTCGTTGGTAGCTGGTAGCGGTCCCAAATGATCTGCCGCTACCCCCTGCTGGAAACAAAACGGAAACAATTCGAAAGAATCCCTGTGACTACAAGGGGCACACACACACAACGAACATTTCTTGCAACACCCTGCCATCCAAACTCTCATCCACCAAGAATTTTTCGGCGATCCAGTCGAACTTGAGCCTGTGGATGACTTTCACCTTCTCGTCTTTGACATTGACCTACCCGCCCGCACGATCACATACATCCAACCCTCCCAGCCTTGGAAGGTCTGTGACGCTACTTCAGCTGGTACCCAATGTCTATGCCCTTCCGGCTTAGCATTCAGAATCCACACCATACACAAGTACACCTACCCTCCCTCCGCAGCTACCACAGCAGCCTATCACCTCATCAACCTCTACATCTCCAAGGGGCATCCGGCAAACGCATGCCGACGATTTTTGAAAGGCAAAGCCATTTCTGGCCAGCGCGCGCCGCATTGCGGCCCCTTGTGTGTGCCCCCCTCCGTTTCCAATGTTTTGATTCCATGGTCCTTTCATGATAGTCCCCAAAACCTTTCCCTCAGCCGTTCTGCAGCTGCTGATTCGTGCGAGCGTTCAAACAAATGTTCCAACATTTCAAATGCTTTTGCTGACTCAGCCGCCGTGCGTTTCCCTCATCCCTTTCTTCGTGGTTTCTGACATTGGATGAACGTCTATCTAGGTGTGTGTATGCCAAGACTAGGTCAAAACCCTACCTACAATCTTCTTTAGAGGCCTTGCGTCGGTCTGTATTGCGCTCGATTCCTTTATCCGACTCCTTGGGCGACAGGTGAGGCTTCTGTGCTCTTTCGGATGTTTAGGCCTGTTTGTTGCCATTTGAGCGGCGAATGTGTAGATTTGTTGCTAGACTCAAGCACCTATGTTGAAAAACCTCTATCTCCTTTAGACTACCTGAAGAGAGCACATTGTTACGTTTACGCTGTCTCGTGCAAGCTACTTTAGCGGCAAATCACATGTATGATCACGTATGTGCTTTTTCAGGGGCCCTAACTCGCTCACAAGCGAAGACATATGTGGACAATCACTTACAGTAGTAAAAAGGAAAAACAAATTGCTCATTTGGCTTAGGGATGTGAGAATGGCTCTAACATCGCTTTGAGCAAAGCTTTGTCTGTCGGCGAGGCTCCTGGTAGGTCTCTAGTACCTGCGTGCTGACAGGTTGTCTCACTGTCACGAATCTACAGTCTAGGCCAGTTCAGCTTGACCAGTGCACCGGGCCCGTTCTGCCTTGAAGATGTTGATCTGCATGGCCAATGGTTGCAAGGCTGCAACAACTGTTCGCACCGCATGGCCGTAAACTTCTTGGGCGAAAGCCGTGTGGTTTTTGCTGGAACAGTCTGCGTGGCCAACATGGCCCCGGTGAGCAGTCTGCCGCTTGGCCGAGCGCGTATCAAGATCGATGTGGCGCGCAACGCGCTCGAAGAAGCTCTCGTCCTCAGTTTGATTGCGTTTCGGTTCACAAGAGTTCACAAGGGTCAAGCCTTGAAAGCAAAGATGGTAGCCACGCCGACTTTCTTTTATATCACATTTTGTTGCTTCTCCATCTTCTCACACTGTTTCCTTCTTGTCTGTCTTCCTCTCTACAATTGTTTCCTTCTGTTCAGGGTCCTTCACGGCCACATCGAGGCGGTGTGATGTTGTGATGGTGGCAGACCACGCTTCCAACAAGGCTTCACTGCTTCGTTCTTCCGCGCGCAGGGCATTTTGCCATGCCTCACGGAGCACAGCGGTGTCCGCACCTCAGGGGATAAAGAATCAAGGAACCTGGAACGTAGAAGAATGCGAGTACAATCCGGGACGTTCAGTGGCATGTGATGTCTCATATTCTTATTGTGTCTTAATTGAATTTACATTTATGATCAATTGACCGGAACACAAGGAACGGGCAATTTTGAACATACAGCCCCCGCTCACTAGCTGTCAACCTAGTGAAGCCTGTGGCAAAAGATTTGTTATGGTTTGTTATTGCTGCCTGGGGCCTCAGCACTGCTGAGGAAAATGTGCCATGTGCTGGATTTTGCGCGAGGCAAGCCAATCGGCCAATTGCCAGGCTTACAAACCACAAGTTCCAAACAGGGATCCCCCCAAATCTGGGGCATGTGGGGGCGCTGGTTGCGGGCGAGGCCATCACACGCGTGGCAAAACCTACGAATTGCTCCCCCTTTCAGGGCAATATGTCCAAGCAGGTGCACTGGCACCCCGTCCTGCGCACTGAGAAAAATTGTGAGCCAAGTTGACTGCGTACTCAGTCTGCTCCAGGGCCTTGCGCCGCCCATCGAGAGAACATTTACTATAGCCCAAAACCTTTGTCTAATTCAGCTTTGTTCAGGGACCGGGTACAACTACAATAAATACTGAAGTGCTTCAAAACAGGGCTACTCAGGCCACCCGCCTTCAAATGCAACATGGTGAAAGTGTCGTGCTTCTCATGCGCGTGAAGGAAGGACTGCAAGATCGACTCCCAAACAATTTGTTCTGAGATCGAAATCCAAACAACTCCATCCTCTACAAGTGGAAGTGACTGCGCGTGCAACGATTGCATGACCTGTGCAACTTCACGGTGTTCACTAGCTTGATGACCTTGAAGAGCTTGGAACAAATCTTGGCAATCACGCCTAGAATTACTCTTGAACGCTATCACTAAAATGCCACGCAGTTTGTTTCTTTTCAGGGTATGCTGGCAACGATGGTCTCTGCAAAGAGTCAATCATGTACTTAATGTGGGCGCTTCAAACATTCCGGCATTCCCAAGAAGTATCCAACGCGTTTCAAATTTAGAATCAAATTCCAACTCAATATTATACCGTATATATATATATTGCTTCTTTAATATGATATTTGGGCAGGTAAACACATTGGTGTTAAAGACGCTGTGCGGATGCTGTACAACCAATTCAACTAAGTTGCTCAAAAAATGCAATTTGCCCTGGATGTGTTTCTGGGCGACCGATGACGCTTCGCGATTGCGTCCACCAAGCTCTTTGTTTAAAACTTGTGCGATAGTGATGCAGCATGCCTTTTATAGATCTCGCCCGGTGAGGCCAATTGGCTACAGAAACATTCACCGACATCGCCGTGATTCGAGAAATCAAGTCGCTTCCAGTGGCTCTGTGCCAATCCAAAACCTCCCGGTCTAAAGTGAGGGGATCTTCTTGGTTCGGGAATTGCCGCAACTCTTCCAACAAAGCTGGCACTGAAAGGATATCGTGGGTTTCGAGCGAAACTTTCTGGGGATCGAGTACCGTGCCGATAGCCCATAGCAAATATTGAGTCTGGTAGTCCACAAGCGCTTGGATGTTTGTCATCAGCACATCATGCGACTCTTTCAAGGTGCTCAAAACCGTCGAAGTTCCAGCGCGAACAGCATCGTCGATGCAGAAGAGATCACACATCACTTTCGACAGGCCAAATTGAAGTGGAAGGCAATCTTTCGAAGACGCTTCCGCTAAACTCGCCAGATCTGCTCCATACCAACCTGACATGTCTGGAATAGTCCTTAGAAAAGAATTGTTGAGTCGAAACCATGCCCCTCTGCCAACTCTAGAATTGTCTTTGGTTCGTCTGGCCAAACTGCGCGCAACAGAGGACCGATTTATGTAAAAATCTATGAAATGGATCTTATATAAAGACTTGCATTTATGCAAAATACTCTTTGGATTGCAAAGTGGATATTCACCGATATGTCCAATTGTAGAAACCATTGTTTCTACAACTTAATCTATATTTAATCTATACTTTTAAGCCCAAGGTCGATGATCTCTGGAAAGTTCGAATTGCGAATATAGGACCTTTCATATATAGCGTTCATTTCACAAACTTTCCTCTAGATCTCCGGGAATGACGATTTTGTACAAAATATACACGCGCGCACACATGTATATATATATGAATTTGTATTTCACATTTTTCGTCTGTTTGGGAATGATCACATTGAAAATTATATAGCTCTAAATAAGTGTTCATTTCAAAGGCTGTCGATAGATCTCTGGGAATGGTTGCTTGACGTTGCATGTATATTGAAAAGCTTTATAGAGAAGCTTTCGGTTCAAAAGCTTCCTCTCGATCTCTGAAAATATCTGATACTGTAACTACTTTTGCAAAATTTGTCAAACATGGAAAAGTGCTCCTTGTCCATCCACTTGAACAAGCCGCCGCAGTAAAGTCAACTGCATTGTCATCCTAATACGTTTCCATCTTTACCTTCGCGCGCATTTGCAGTGAGTCTTACTGGGAGGTCACATCCAAACAGGCTGATGAATTTGAGTCTTGCTCATGGCTCTCAATCCTTGTGAGTCGCCACGCTCGCGATGTCCAACCTCTTCCTCGTGGTAGGTGAATCTGCCGAGTCCTTGGACGCGCGGGCCGTTCGGTTCGCTGGGGTTCACCACTCTGATGATGGTCACATCGCCGATGTCAACGGTCTCGATCATGGTCATGTCATCGTCCACCGCGTCAGCTTGGTAGAAACTGAAGTAGTCCACTTGTTGTCATCGCCATGTTCAGGATCTGCTGAGTGAACTCCAAGAGATCTCGGTAACGCTATCGTCAGGTGTGTCTCAACTCCTCTTCTCAGTTGGAGTTGCTCGGTGTACCATTGAAAGACTTCTGGTCTTGGTAGGACAATGCTTTCCGACTCTTCATTGGTGGTCTCTTCAGCACTCAGCGCCGTCCAAAACGCTGCTCAATCTTTTTGAAGTATCATCCAGCATCTGCCAATGCGTGTCCTCAATGTCCTGCATGCTGCTCGCTGATGAAACCGCCTTCATGTTTCCAGTCAGGTTCGAAAAGTTCTTCTTCTTGTGAATCTGTGCCTCAATCAAGCTCCCCAGGGCCACTGTCATGATCTTCTCCATCGTGTCCACGTCGTCCATGTCCTAGATTATCATAATCTCGTTTTCGACGTTGAACGTGTCGAACTTCTCCAGGTTGAGGTCGGTCTCCACCGCAAAGTGGTAGATGTTGATCACCTTCACGATGTCCAGAGAAGGTTGTTGTTCCTCTGAAAATGTTCTGAAGACCTCACTCTCCTTCTTTATATATGGTCGATCACCTTCTCCAGTATTTGCTGCTTCGTGCGAGGCTTCATGTTGCACTCGTCGTCGTGGTCCTCCATCTGCTTCTTCAGCATCTCCAGGTCCATTTTCTTGGCTCTGTCCTGATTGTGTAAACACACCGAATCTGCGGCCCAGAACCCAATTGCGACAAATGCGTTTCCTCCGGACTCGGCCCTTGTTTCATCTCGTTATCGTAGCTTCTCTCACCATTGCTTGATCTGAAAGGTAAAGGAAAGATCTGCGCTCTCCTTCATACCTCAAGGGGTTCACATTGGCGCAGGCCTTGCAAGCCCACAAAGTTCAGCTAGTATCCCCGAGTGTGTCGGTGGTCAGCGGCTAGCTGCATCTCCTGGTGTCATTCTCTGTCTCCTGTTTCTTGGTCAGACCGGATGTGAAAGGTCCACTCTGTTGGGATTTTGAGGTCGATGAAGAACTGCCCTGATCTCGGTGTGCTCGAAGTCGTCGCGATAGTTTTCTGTAGAGCTGCTCTGAGAATTGAAGCCGTCACAGTTCAAGCCTAATCAGAACGTTTTCTGGGTCACCTCTGTCTGGATGGTCTGAATGGTTTCAACCTCTACCCCATTCGGGTGTCCCATAGGAATTAGACTCGCCTGTTTCTTTCTTCTCTACTGTGATCATTTCTTTTGCGCTGGTCTACAATTCTATTTCGCTGTTGGGGCTCTCAAAAGTCTCACCACCTTTTCTTTCACTACATCTTGACCCCACAAGTTGCGAACGTGGATGTGTTTCAACTTTCCTTGTCCTGCTCTCTGCAAGATTTCCCGTGCTGCTGAGCTGTCGCTAAACACTGTTATCCGCGCATCTTCTGCCCCTAAAAACCGAGGCAGGCTTCCAACACGCAACATCTCACCTACGCCACTGCAGCTTGCGTAAAGCTATCCAAGGTATGGAAGATTGTAGGTTGCATGAGCTTACAGGTGGGCTGCCGTTCAGATGATATCGTTGATTTCCTGCTCACTTGGCATCCTGCCCAATTGCCGTCCGTGAAACCTGGTCGGGTAGTAGCTCTTACTCTGCTCTGGAAAATCCCAACGGTCACTTGTGACTACTCCAGCATCTTGGGTTTCTTGCAAATAGCTTCCCAGCTCCCTCAATGCAGGTGCGCCAATTTTGTTCGCCAGCCATATTCTAGGTTGACAAACTCCTTTAAGGCAGCTGGTCTGTCTTGCGCAATGTAAAGCGCCAACCCGAGTCCTGATCGGAACATCCGCGGCTCTTCGGCGTTGAGTCGTTCATGACCCTTAAATGTTGCCCTTGTCATACACTTCCTGGTTGCTGTGATGTGGTCGCGTGTAGGTCTTCTTGCCACGTAGTTCAAGTCGACGTCTTCTTGATGTATGAGGGTTCGGCTGCACAAAGATTCCTGGCCTCGACAAGACCACCTTCTTCTTCTGGTAGTAAGTTATTGTTGCTGCCATACTCAAACGGTCCTTTGGCATTCATTGTCAGCTGTTTTCTCACCACCTCACTGAACCGTGTCCAATCCTCAGCTCGACTTACCACAAGCGCGTCATCGACGTGAGGCGTGAGAAACATCTTTCGCGTGGGGTGCTTGAACACTGTGGGCATTCCCTTGAAGCTTTCAAAGTTCATCTTCTCAACCTGTTTCCTGGCCTGCGCTGTCTTGCTACAATTCTGCGCCGCCGTTTCCACATACCTCTGTACCTCCAGTCGAAAACACATGTTGCGACCAGCAAAAGTGGCTAGTCAGCGGTCGCTGCATCATCTGCTGCCGCTACGCAGAACTTCAAGTCGTTGTAGTCGACTGCTCTCTTCTAGCTTTGCTTTCTGGTCCAACTGCTTCAACTCCTCCTCACTGATATTGGGAGGTCCATCACGTTCAGCGCGTTCACTAATTCTCTGTTGCGCCCATCTCTACTTCCGCTGGGTGATGTTCAGGATTGAAGGTCGACGCTCCTAGAAGATCAATCTGCTTGTCCACATACGCGTCGTCATTGTTGTCATCCACCACGTTGACATTGCCAGCCCAAGCTGGTGAATGCAACTCTTGCCTCTTTGCTGCTCTCTGCCTTCAAGACCGTGCTTCTTATCCTCCTGTGGAACGCTGAGGTTCATTGGATCACTGTCGGCGCTTGCAGGCCCATCATCTGTTTGCGCCTTCTTCGGAGCGCTCTTCTCTCTCTTGCCCTGCCTGCAACACTTGCTTGCTGTGTACTCGTCCTCATCTTCGCTGTCAGGAAGGGCTTGATGATGATCGATCACATCGTTGGCACCTTTGAAAGGAGGAACTTCTGGTGAAGGAACTTCTGGTGGGTTGTTGGGTTGTTGCCGTCTTCATTGAGCCTGGTAGGATCAAAGCCAACCAAAAGCTCCTTGTCCAACTCTTTCGCGCAAAGTCGGACTGCTCTAGTCCTCGCCACGCGAGACCCTTCAAACGCAACAATGTCTTGATCAGCCCCATCTTTTCCCTAACCGAAGTCCTCAAAGCCATCGCCGCTCGTACTTGGACTTGCGCTCATCCGATGCAAAGACTGTGCAGCCAACAGCGCAAATGCGTCCACCGTACGCTCGCCCACGAAGCGCTTGAAATGGTGTCGTTTTCAGTGTGCTATGAACAGCGTGCCTGGTCAACAGCCATGCGCTATGCCCTGCTGCCCAGCCGTGAGGTTGAATGCTCAGGATCTAAGCGCGCTCCGCCTTTGTCTCTAAGTGCAAAATTGCGAATGGTCTGGCTGTATCTCTCAGCTGCTGACGTGCTTGACTTGTCAAAGGCCTTGTTCATGTCCAGCGTCCTGGTCTACTTGCAAACAAGCAAAACCACCTGGAGATCCTGCGCGTCGGACGTGCAAGCGTGAGGTGGAGTGCAATCTCTGGACGAGAGTGGTGAACCCTCTGCAGGTCTGCAGAGATCGGGCGTTGCGCGCTCAATTTGTGTATTATACTGCAAATTAATTCTTGGCGACGTTGCGGAGGTCGTGTGCGTTGAGTTGCCAAAGTGTGCAACTGTTGTCAGAAATGGCGGCGCCAGCTGGAAGCTGCCAAAGAGTGTATAACTGGACTGGATGTTGCCAAATTCGTAACTGTCGTTGAAAACGATGTGAAGGTGGACGTTGCCATTGCAAGTGTGTAACTGTACGAGAAGAAAGGTGGAGTTCACCAACGCAATTTTGTAGTGCAAATTATGGCGTGGGAAGTAGCTCTGGGAGCTGTGGACTCTGAAACTTGTTGTCCACATGTAGTGCGGGAAGCGAGTTCTGGGAGGTTAAAAGGCTCATAGGGTGACACGCCCTCCGCAAAATGTGCATTGGGGGCTTGCTCTAATATTAGGCCTTTTGACCTCTCTCGGGGTGTGACATTGTTGTATCTAGTCTGTGGCACGCCGCGGGGCGAAACTACGTCTGTGATGTTCACGCGTCGCGCGGTTTTGCGCGCCCCCGTGGGAAAGTGCGTGTGCCCGAG